AGTGTAGCGGCGTATTTAGCCAAAGGTCGTGTGTTCGAATCCCGCTCCCCCTGAGTACCCTGAATTTTTTATCTCAACCAAGACCTTACATAGAAAGAATAATTAATTGAAAGAAGTAACACGGTCAATTAACCACTGAAACGTAAATAGATTAATATTTAATCAGTAAAATAAGTATCGCCTCACTAAACTAAAGTGGCTCTTCGTACCCACTTCATAAGTCGCTGAGAATACAATCCTGATTACAAACGGCAAAAAAAGGGAAAATTCGAACGGTTGTAGGTTGAGATGGAGAATAGGTGTCCCAGTTTATCGAAGTCACAATAGCTCATGTGGTAGAGTAGCGGCATATTTTGCCAAAGGTCGTGGGTTCGAATCCCGCTTGTGACACTGATTTTTTTATCTCAACTAAAACCTTAATTAATTGAAAAATATTAATTGGTCAAGCGTACCACGAAACTAGTGAATTTATGAAGTAATGTCTTTATTGTAAGAGATTATTTTTAATATACAAAGCTAAAACCAACCACATCACGCCAATTGGCCACGAAAACGTAAATGGATTAATATTCTTGTTACTGTGTGGTGATTAGTGACCGTTAATCGATACTTATTTAGAAATCGTGAGATGCGGTCTGGTGTGATGTAGGTTTCAGAAAAACATTTTCTTTATAGTGCCAACGTTTCGATCTTTATTGAGATCATCTTCAGGGCTTGGGATTTACAAACATTGTTTACATATAACAATTACATTTTGGAAGTGGAAAAGTGAATTTATACAATGCAAAATATATTTTTTTATTATGTATTCAATCAAAGTATTTCTACTTACTCAAAGTGTTGTCTTCTGTGTAATTGTGCCATTCTTGCGTGTCGTGTCGAAAGTGCCAGTGAGATTTTACTATTTTGTGTTTATATACGCCGACGCCTTATACAAAATTGTCTTTTCTATACCGACATCCTTCCCCACCCCTCCAAAATCCAATTTATATAAACACAAAATAGCAAAATCTCACTGGCACTCTCGACACGACACGCAAGAATGGCACAATTACACAGAAGACAAACACTTTGAGTGAGTAGAAATACTTTGATTGAATGCATAATAAAAAAATATATTTTGCATTGTATAAATTCACTTTTCCACATCCAAAATGTAATTGTAATATGTTAACAATGTTTGTAAATCCCAGGCCCTGAAGATGATCTCAATAAAGATCGAAACGTTGGCACGATAAAGAAAATGTTTTTCTGAAACCTACATCACACCAGACCGCATCTCACGATTTCTAAATAAAAATTCTTGTTACTGTTTAATTTTCGGGGTAAGAAACCCCGAACTCTATTACATTGCATTTAGCAACGCTATTACAATCTGTAGATTGTTATTTAATTTGTTTCTATGTTCAACTATCTGTCATATGATTAGAATGAGAGCACTCAATTTTTTTTCCAAGTAGGTGTTATTTCAATAATAAATTTGTTAAATAATTCAAAATTTTGCTGTATATTTCAGTCCTGTTTAATAGCCGAATATATCGCAATAATTATCAATTTGTGGCTTATTATTGTTTTGTTGTTGAATGCTGTGACTGATCCTGCGCCACGGCATAGTAAAAGGGGGTGTTAAACGCCAAGAAACAATGACCGCTTGGGATGACAAAAGCAGTAAACTGGCGCAAAAATTCCCGTTGTTGACGTAGCAACGCTCCGCCGCCGGCTCTCCCGCCCCTCGTAGATTTATGGAGTTATGCCACGTATGTGTGTGAGGGTGGATGATCGATGTTCCAAAACGTGCGTCTGGTGGGTGGTGAATTTCTATTTAATCACAAAGGCTGTGACAATACACTCCGTAGTGGCTCGTGCGACCCTTCAGGACCTATCATAACCAGTTCCCTCGGCCACGCCTACCCGTTATTAAATTTATTAGCCCCATTGAGAAGGGTATCATTACCCTATCCTCGGGATTAACTTATGTTGATGAGGGGCTATCTTTTTTCTTGTGCGGTTTTTGTAAACTAAATTTGATTGTTATTGTTATATGAACGCTTTAATCTCAAACCAAAGACGATTTTGGTGTTCACAGAAAAGGCACACCAGTGTTTAAGTATTTGTTTTAAAAATATATGTTGCAATAATTATCAATTTGTGGCTTATTATTGTTTTTCTTAATCGCCCCTCACGGCAATAAATTGTTAAACAACCAGTCACTAAAAAACACACATTATATGTTCTTTTGATGGTAATAAAGACTGACATCTTGACTAGCTCAACGACATATTTGACATTAATGTTTTCATGACACAACTCACATTGATTCCTATCTGGCACATGACATCTACCTGAAAAATCAGTAATAATAATAATACTTTATTGCAAAAAAGAAAAGTTATAAACATTACATAATATATAATTCACTAATTGCGTGGTCCGCTTGACCAATTAATACTTTACAATTAATTAAGGTAATTTGTTGAGATGAAAAAAAGTTAATGGCTAAAGTTTCTCTAGCCCGAAAAGGTGCACCATTGAGATAAAAGAGGTCCCCTATGATTTTGAATAACCACCTTAACTCGACCAATGAAATGAAAAATCAGTAGTTTTCTTTTCCTACATTTCAGATCTTAGAAAACATGCCCCATTCCAATGGAAATTTTCCCTCGTTCGGTTGATTCCAATACAAAATATCATACCTTTCCGACATCCTACCGTCTAATTAGTCTATTGCCATTAATTGATAAAATCCTCGATAAACCTTTTCTTAAGGCACATTCTCCCAAACTTCATACACGGGACCTTGTTCCTAACCACTAGTTTGGGTTCAGACGTTCTCGTTCAGCAGTGTTATCGCGTTCTAAAACAAGTTGTGTTTCAGTGTATTCTTCTAATCCAAAAATCATACATAATCAGCAAATACGTCCAACCATACGTACCAAGTCATCAGTGGCTTCTCTCGCCTCGCCAGGGGTATAGAAATAATAAAGATAGAGTAGATTCACGTTTTGTAAATCTGTGAGTAGAACCGTCATTTACAAAAACTACAAAGTGATACAGGGCTATTCATGAAAATGTGATGTGATATCTGATCTGTTATTTCCAGTACAAAAATAGAATTTTTGACGTATTTCAGATGTGAAGGGAAATGAGAGGTGAAAAGGTATAAGACAGATTTAACCCTAAGATTACACAACCGTACATTTTAACAGCAAAACAATAACTTTCATAAAATTAAAACTTACAGACGAAAACTGTAAGGTTGAGTATAAGATCAAGAAATAAATCAATTTATTGATTACCAGCCAAATATGAAATACATATAAGACCAAAGAGTTTAAAGTATACTCATGAAAAAAATATTGTTGTCTAAATATTTATTAAATAGGTACTAGGAAAAAGCAAGATTTTATAAATAAACCGATTTTTTTGAGGATTTGTGTATATTTTGCATCAGGTGGCAACTTAAATATGAATAGATCGTCTGAATAAAAAAAATGAATTTGAAATGAGAGAGGATTTTTTACGCTATATAAATACTATTTTGCATTTACATGGCAGTGGTAGTGGCAATTCACCATACAGATTCAATTTATACATATATANCATTTTAGGTCATTCAGATTATTGGAAAGAAGTATCTTACAGCAAATTTAGTGTTCTTTCAAATGGTGTAATTGGATTTGTTGTAGTCTCAACATTTTGGAAGTTGTAAGCGTTTTTATGTGGTGAGGTAGTGAAAAATTGAAAAAACCTAAATTGACGAATATTTTCGAAATAGAGAACTTTCAGAAAATTTTCTCCTGGGCATTTTTGGCTCCAAACGAAGAGTAGAATCGATTCCCTGAGTTTCGTCAGAAGGAACTGGGGCACGCTGTATATATACAAAGACTGAATTAAGAAATTAGGGAAAGCACAACAAACAACAAGGTTGCTGTTATTGAGAATCATCTTTCATTTTGGTAACAGAGTTAGTCTTTTGTTTATGTCCTAAGGATTTATCAAAATTTGCAGTCAGTAGTGAAGTCCGTTAAAGGATCTTCGCAGGAAGAATACCTTCAGCCAAATAAGATCAAACCCGCTACTTCCCAGTAATCCTTAACAACCATCATCATTATTTTTTATTTGTATATAATGGTGGTGGTGATTAGTGACCGTTAGTTGATGATTATTTTGAGATCGTGAGATGCGGTCTGGTGTGACGTAAGTTTTAGAAAAACATTTTCTTTATCGTGCCAACGTTTTGATCTTCATTGAGATCATCTTCAGGGCCTGGGATTTATAAACATTGTTTAAATTATACAATTCATGTAAGATGTGAAAAAATCAATTTATACAATGATAAGATCAAGCCCGCTACTTCCCAGTAATCCTCAACAACCATCATCATTATTTTTTTACTTGTATAAAATAAATTTTAAAAGTGTATAAAAAGGTTGGAATGTAGTCTGGGACGCCTTTTTTTTCAATATTTGTAATTTTGGTACGCGTTCCAGGTAAGTCTTTCTCTAAGTCCTAAGGTTTGATAAAATTTGTGTTCAGTAATGGAGTGCCATGGAGGATCTTTGGAGAAAGAATACCTTCAACTAAATATGAAAAAACCGACTAGTAAACCTCATCAATCATAATCATAAAGTTGCAGTTTATAGTAAATTTTGAACGTTGGTAAAAAATTTAGAAAGTCGTTTGGAATACTAGTTAGTATTTTCAATATTTGTAATTTTGGTATTGGTTCCAGGTAAGTCTTTTGTCTAAGTCGAATTAATTAAGGTTTTTAGTTGACATAGAAATTGAATGATATTAACTGGTCAAGCAGCACGAAAACTAGTGAATTTTGTCTAAGGTTTTATCAAATTTACAGGCAGTAGTGGAGTTTTTGGTGAATTTGAGTGAAGAGATAAGAAACCCAATCGGTAAAGAAAGATTTTTTCTAAACTTATTTGTTTGAGCAAAGCACACAACAATTGTGACTACGATTGGAAGTACGCAATGCAGGAACAACAGAAGAAGTTTTAAAACAAAATTTTATTAGTAATAGGCGTGACTGTTGACAAAGGTATACGATTAAATCGGCTGGAATTTCATGTAGGTGTCATCTTTAGGCCAGCAGACAAACGAACTATTAGGGTCAGGTAAAACGTATTTCGACTTGTGCCTTGGGCTCAGAGAGATGTTGAAGTTCAGGACCAGGTTGATAAGTGCTGTTTTAATACTAAGAACAGCATACTTCATGCCTGAAATCACAAAGATAAATGCTGGTAAGATAATATTTAATTTTAACAAAATGAACGTGCCATGACGATAGATTTCGTGATAACATTTGAATGAAGTGAATGGTGGAATAAGATGTTTGAATATCCAATTAAATGTCATGTATTTATCAATTAATTAAGGTTTTTAGTTGAGATAAAAAAGTCAGTGTCAACAGCGGAATTCGAACCCACGATCTCCGGCTAGATACGCCGCTGCTCTACCACCTGAGCTATCGTGACCTCGATCCACTCGGACACTAACTTCCCATTTATTCATTTGTCGCCGAGAATCAAATAGATTACACGACATTTCAAAAATGGCAAAAAGGAGTAATGTATAATATACTAATGTATAATTGAATAGCTTAAATAGTTACAACAAAGAAATGATATTTTTCATCGTTTGTTCTCTATCCTCATTCATTGTTTAGACATTTTGAACTGAAGCAAGGAAGGGAACGTTCACATTTACCAAGTTTGGGGTTCAAAAATTCAGTAATTTCGTGGTCCGCATGACTAATTAATATATTACAATTAATTAAGGGTTTTAGTTGAGATAAAAAAGTCAGTGGCACGAGCGGGATTCGAACCCACGATCTTCGGCTAGATACGCCGCTGCTCTACCACTTGAGCTATCGAGACCTCGATCCACTCGGACACTAACTTCCCATCTCAACCCCACCTTTGAAAAATGGCAAAAAGGAGGGAAAATTCCAAAGGTGGGGTTGAGATGGGAAGTTAGTGTCCGGGTGGATCGAAGTCTCGATAGCTCAAGTGGTAGAGCAGCGGCGTATCTAGCCGAAGATCGTGGGTTCGAATCCCGCTCGTGCCACTGACTTTTTTATCTCAACTAAAAACCTTAATTAATTGTAATATATTAATTAGTCATGCGGACCACGAAATTAGTGAATTTAATGAATTAAAAATGAAGTATACTTCACTAAATCTCTCCGTGGCCATTTCATTTGTCGCCGAGAATCCAATTCAATTATACGACATTTGAAAAATGGCAAAAAGGAGGGAAAATTCCAAAGGTGGGGTTGAGGTGGGAAGTTAGTTTCCGAGTGGACCGAGGTCACGATAGCTCAAGTGGTAGAGCAGCGGCGTATCTAGCCGAAGATCGTGGGTTCTAATCCCGCTCGTACCATTGACTTTTTTATCCCAACTAAAACCTTAATTAATTGTAATGTTCAAAAATGTTCAATTTACCATTATTTTCTTCTGTAATTGCTAGTGTGTAAAACTCACCGACACAACTTTTCGGACCTTCGCCAAATGGCATGTGAGTGAATTTGGGCAACTTCTCCCTTCCTTCTTTCGAGAACCTTTCCGGAATAAACTTATCCGGTTCCGGAAAATACATTGGGTCTGTAGTTAATGCTGTCAACGGGATGAAGATTTTGGTGCCTTTTTCAATCTTGCATTCTCCAAGCTGAGTGTCTGTAGTGCATAATCTCGTAATAACGTATATGGTCGGGTGAATCCTTAAAGTTTCTGAAAGAACAGCAGTTACATAGTACAATATTTATTTTTGCATTTATTTTTAGGGCATACCTTGTAGCACCATGTCTAAATATTCCAGGTTGTTTATTTTATCGAAGGCAAGATCGTTCTCGAAGCTACAATCAGCGTTCACCAACTCTTGTCTCAATTTTGACTGAACCTCCGGGTGGGAAGCGAGTAGGTAGAGGACATTCGTCAAGACCAAGCTGACTGTCTCTGTTCCGTCCAGGAAGACGGTCACAAGTGTCGCTGCTAACTCAGTTTCGTCCAATGCTGTAATGTAAAAATATAAAAATAATCGCTTCAGGTATGTAGTTTGGTCGTTTCCGACCATTTTAATTAATTAATTTAATTATTAAGGAAAGACATGAAATACGTTTATTTCCTTCTTTGACCGCTTTTTCGTTGTGCGATATTATCAATTGAATAAGATCGTTAGACATCAGGTTGTTGTTTTTCCTGTGGGCGATTAGAGTGGTGCCCAATTCTTTGAAAAACTTTTCGACAACCGGGGACACCAACCTGGAAATATCAGGTGGCTTAAACATAGGTGATAAAGGAAGAAACTGTTTGAAAGGAGTTTAATACCTTCCTCGCGAGAAGAGATTCCACCATGGAGCAAACAATAACGCTAAAATAGACGGGTTACTGGTGAACATTCTGTCCATAGTTTCTTTAACAAAAGGGTTATCGGGATTAACAAATGAATTGCATTCTGTAGTATATGCGCACGAAGCAACTGCATCCACTGCGAAATATCTAGTCAATTCTCTTACCTGAAATAAGAATTCTGTTTTAACGTTTTAAACTTCGTGGAAAAACGAAAAAATTATAGTGCAAATCTTATAAAAAAATTTACTGTTAAATAACACGAATAACTATCAAATTGTTGCAATTAATAATAGAAAGCTATTTGATTCAATGACCAATATAGAAATATCGTTTCGTCAAAGGCTTTTAATTTGTTAAAGTTGTCATCGACTAAACAGGAAACAGATGCCTGCCGGAAGAGCTGATGATAACTACGAGCTAGGATTGAAATTGGTCACATCCTCAATCTGGATTGCATAAAAATGTTATTTACGTTCAATTCTTCTCCAATGTTTTGGCGTATGTGCTGCAGGAAATTGGAGGCCGATTTGGCGATAGCTGGCACCATGCCTTTCAGTCTTGCAAGTGTATGGGCTTGAGAATGAAAACTCCTGAATAATTTCCACCTGGAATATTTTAATTTTTATTATTTATGTACACCTTTTCCATTTCAACAGAAAGGAAGGATGATATATATTATAATTATAAGTGATATTTATTTGATAATAAATTATAACTCTAGATAAAATTCACTAATTTCGTGGTCCGCTTGACCAATTAATACTTTACAATTAATTAAGGTTTTTAGTTGAGATGAAAAAAAATTAATGGCACGAGCGGGATTCGAACCCACGACCTTCGGCCGCTGCTCCACCACTTGAGCTATCGTAACTTCGATCCACTCGAACACCAACTTCTATTTCAATCTTTCGAATTTTCCCTTCTTATTGCCATTTTTCAAATGTCGTGTAATCCGGATTCGATTCTCGGCGACAAATCAAATGGCCACGGAGAGCTTTAATGAAGATAATCTTCGTTTTATTTATTAAATCCGTTATATTTCGTGGTCCGATTGGCCTAAAGCTCATCGTGGCCAATTTATCTGTCGCCAAGAATAGAATCCTGATTACACGACATTTAAAAAATGGCAAAAAGGAGGAAAAATTAGAATGGTAGGTTGAGATGGGAACTTGAATTCCGAGTGGATCGAAGTCACTTTAGCTCAAGTTGTAGAGCAGCGGCGTATCTAGCCGCAGGTCGTGGGTTCCAATCCCGCTCGTGACACTGACTTTTTCATTTCAACCAAAACCTTACATAAAGATTAATTAATTAAATGAAGTTAATTGATCAATCAACAATACTTCTGCAATTGTACCTCAAAAAATATTAAAAATTAAAAATATTAAACAAAGAAAAAAAAAAGATAAAAAGGAAACCAAGACTATATTACGTTTTTTTACGAAAAAAAAATGGATTTTCTTGTGTCTTGCCTGTGCCTGCGTGCGGGGAAAAAAAATGTTAGTTTTAAGTTGTGTAAACTTGAATTTTGGCGTGGAAGATGAGAGCGTCAGGCGGCAGCACGAGCGTGGGCGTCGAGGCCTGGAACGCGACCGAGAGCGAGAAGGTCCCTCGGCCCGGAGAGACGTGTCCGCCGTGCGAGGGACGAGCGGCCAAAGAAAAGAGGAAATTCACGCTGCTGCGGATTGTTCGTCCTCATTAACCTGGCATCTTCCCCTGGTCAGAGTGATGGGGAAGAGAACTCGGAAGAGGATTTGTGGTGCTACGAGGACGAATCATTTCCCCCGACTGAGGCTGCTCCTGGATGAGGACCACGCTGCGCCAGGGCCCCGACGTGATTTCGCCGAAACGGCCGATTGACTTTTTTTTTTCATTAATAACTTTTGTTAGATTAAGTTTAGTTATAAGACAAAATTGTTACGCTAGGTTTAAGGTTTTCTTTGTTTTATTAAGTAATGAGTCATTTTAGGTTAAAGAGTTAAGATTTAGTTGCTAAGTAGTTTAATTGTCATTTATTTATAAGATTATTTCCGATGTAAGAGAGTTTAGTTCAATATAGTATAAAGTCGAGCAGTCTTTTGATATTTGTTGTGAACCTTTTATTTGGCGGAGGCCAAATGGTCAAGTTTTTTTCTTGTTGTTCACTGTACCCGTTGTGGGAGGCACAGGTAAGGCACCGGCGATTAATATTATTGTTAATTATCTTTTCTCTATCTCTATCCTATCTGTCCGGAGGATGGATTTGGGCCCCGGGTTTCGTGGCGATACCAGACGCAAGGCGGTGAGCCGGCTGGATGCGGCGAGAATCAGTCGGCGCCTTTGGTCTGGTGGTTACGATCGCCGACTTGGATCTCGAAAGTTCTGGGTTCAATTCCAAACTCCTTTAGTTATCTTTTTCCCTTTGGTTTCATTTTTTTTCTCTTCTTCCTTCCTTTACCTATATTTCTTTTCTTCTCTTAGGGTTTCGGTATTTACCCTTCCCAAAAATACCGTGGCGCTCGACAATTCCCTACCTCTCTCCATCACCCACCCCCTTCTCCTCTGAGCGACGGGACCAACTGTTGTCGGCCGAAGTTTCGACCGTAACAACTAGTTACAATAGTATGTTCAGCGCTTTATTCTACATTTGTGTAGTCACAAATCCAGCAAAGCTATGTTTAATTTGTTTTTTCACTCGAACATCGCAAATCAGTACTGATACCCACTATTCAAACCGTAAGTCAAAATTATTCAAAGGATATATCAATTGGATTAAATAACATCATGTAAATTCTTCTGTCTCTACCATGAATGTATATATTTTTTGGTAATGGAATGGTTAAAAGTATTCGGTTAAGCATGCGTCATGACGACAGTAAAGGTGCAAGTAAAAGAAATTTTTTAATGATTAAATATAGATTTTTTATGCGTATTTTTATGTCTAATTTAGTGAGCATTATCTAATCCATGTGGTTTGTTCGTCAATTGTGCTTGTATGTATCTGCTTTTTCAAAATATAATAACAATTTAAATAAAGTGCTTATAATATATACTAAACGTAATTTATCTGAGTATTGAATTTGAATGCAAATTTCAGATTCAGCAATAGATTTATTAGACCGCAGTTTGACACCTATGACTTTGCTAGTTAAATTCAAAACAAAAGTCAAAATACAGCATTGAATAGAAATATTAAAATTAATTACAAACAGTAAATAAGCAATTTGTTCTGTCCAATCCGTGCCTGTGCCACCACGTTATTATTTTTATCTATGAGTTATAAGAAAAATAATGATTCCTCATTGAAAAGCCATTGAAATAGTACAATGAAAATAGTTTTCTGGTGTACTTGTTTCATCTAAATATAATAACAATTGAATAAAATAAGTATTTATAATTAAAAAACTAAGCCGAGTGTTTAATTCTAGGGAAACAATTTCAGCAATATATTAGTTCGCAGTTTGATCTCTTTTTTAAATTAATTTATTGGCTAACATTTTGCATATACATATTACATGTTATTATGTTGATTTTGCAATTAAAATTATCTCCATAATATTTCATTAACAAATATTTTTAGATTCAGGTTACAATTTCACAAATCATTAAAGTTATTATATTACAGATAGATTATATTATAGTTCATTAAAAGTAAATTCTTAAAGTTAAAATTCGTCAACGTTTAATTTCTTCAAAAAGTTTAAAAACTCGGAAATGTGTTCGTTTTCTGCCAAGTTGGTGTAGGCCGACCATGAATCTCAGCTGCAGGTCATGTGCCGCATCACCTGGGGTTTTTGTTTTTCTAAGCTCTGGGTCGAAGGGGAGCCGGCTGGGCTGTTGGAGTGTTCAAAACGCTTATACCATGTAGATATGCTCAAGAGCCATGTCCATAGTTGGCTGAGGCGGCAATTTGTCGGCAATTATGTTTCTATCCTTTTCTTTATTATTGGGAAGTGTTTTTTTTGGTAATTGATGCGTTCGTTGCAAGTTGGTATTCCCATTTCGCAAGCATTTTTTTCGGCTATTACTTCTTTATATTGAGATTTCGGGATCTTGTCGTAAACAGTTGACAGTGTCGAGTCCTCTGAACCTGCTTTGGCTAATTTATAAACTTCTTCGTTTCCAGTAATTCCAATGTGGCTCTTCAACCAATAGATACATTTTGTAGGGATAGGGATAGATAAAAGAGGCGGCCATAAGGCCTGCTGGACCTCGACCTGAATAGATCTACTGTGCTCCTCTGTTATTTATAACCCACTGGCCAGCTTCAGGCTACTAACCAGTCTCCACAACTTTGCCAATGGTTTCTTGCTCTAGGATCTTGTAGTTTTTCTTGTCCTAGTTGCAAGAACCTGCACCTACATAGACCTTCACAGAAACATAAAATGTGTTCTGCGGTCTCCTCCTCTTCCTGGCAGTATCTGCGCAGTGTTTCTTCTGTCTGTACTCCTATCCGATGCATGTGCTTTTATGTGGCAGTGCCTTTCAGGAGTCCAACCAGATTCCTGGTTTGGTTGCGGTTGACTTCCAGTAATTCTTTTTTAAGTTTTGCGGATGGTCTTTCTATGAAACTCTTCACGTGCCCCATACCTGTGATATTGTTCCACCATGTTTTGGACTCATTAATGATCCATTTTAAGATGTATCCTCTTTTGTGGCAGACTGCTAGGCCGCAGTAGGTTTCTGGGCCCAAAGAGTCTATGATAACTCCCTCTTTGGCAAACATGTCAACCTTTTCGTTGCCTCTATGCCCGGAATGTCCAGGGACCCATGCCTGGGTCAGGCAATAGTAGTCTTGCTGTCTGAGAAAACGGCTATCGTCCGGGAATGTATTCTTAGCCTTTTTATTTCTATGGCACGGTGTTCAATCGCTATGATTTCAGACTGGAAAACTGTAGCATACCTGCCTCAATTCTTGGCGTTAATCCCAAAGACCCCAGTTCTTGTACCCTTGTCGGTTTTGGAGCCGTCAGTATACCAGTAGGAATTTGCATTTAGTGGCGTTCCTTTGGCCCATTTTCCCATCTCAATCCCACCTTTTGAATTTTCCCTCCTTTTTGCCATTTTGCAAATGTCGTGTAATCGGATTGGATTCTCGGCGACAAATCAAATGGCCACGGAGAGCTTTAGTGAAGTATATTTCAATTTAATAGTACTACTTACTAAGGAAGTATACTTCAATGAGATGGGAAGTGGTGCCCGAGGGGATCGAAGTCACGATAGCTCAAGTGGTAGAGCAGCGGCGTATCAAGCCGAAGGTCGTGGGTTCGAATCCCGCTCGTGACACTGACTTTTTTATCTCAACTTAAAACCTTAATTAATTGAATACTTTCATAAACTTCAATTAAAAATAATTGTAAGATTAGTGTTGTTTTTAACGATTTCGCGTTTTAATCTCCATACTTATCCTTGAAATGTTTAATTTAATTATATTACTATGCGGCAATGAGACGTACATTGTTGAGATCGATAATGTCATAAATTTCTAAAAATAATCTACTACTCAGGGCCAACAATCAACTGATAAAGTATAAATAAATAAGCCGTCATGTTGCGGATTTTAGCCGTAACCAGTTAACCCTGAAATCTCTTAAAAATTAAAAATGTATTGCCTGAGTAGGAGGGAGAGGGAGAGAGAGAGAGAGAGAGAGAGAGAGAGAGAGAGAGAGAGAGAGAGAGAGAGAAGAGAGGGTAAAGAAAGAGAGAGAGTGAGTGAGTAGAGAGAGAGTGAGTAGAGAGTACGAGAGAGAGAAAGAGTGAGCAAAAAAAGAGAGAGAGAGAGCATGAAAGTAAGGAGAGAAATATATATATATACATATTTGCACATTGTTCAATAACTTAATTTACTCACTTGTCGCCTGACAGACCAAACGGGTTCAGAGCCATCATTGGGTCGACATTTTTGTTGAATTCGAAAGCTGTGATTGGGAAAGAATTAAACTCTTTAATCAGAATATCTTTCATAATGTCAGGATCCCTCACTACGGCCATTGGTGTGCGGAGGCCGTAAAATCCGACTATTTTCGAATTTGGAAAATTACTGCGGAGAGAGAGAAAAAAAATAATTTGAGAGGCGCCGGCCCGATGCACGAAAAGTACGCTACATACTTGTATAATCTTTTAGTAAAGTCTCCGAGGGTTTCTTTGACATAGATCACATCCTTGATGTTTCCGTACGGGAAGGTGGGCTTTTCGTATGGGATCCCTTTTTTCAGCCAATGGTCATAGTTTCTCGTCCACCAGAAATAGACGAACAGCCAAATCCCTGGGACGAGGAGCAACAGTTCGAGGAACATCGTGTTTCCACTGGAGCGTAATTCATACTGGATCGGTTTGTGTTGTCCTTAACCCCACTATTCGTCAGAGATTTAAACGCCCGACGTCATAACCAATTAATAGTCGTTCCTACATCGTTCGTTCGGGACGTATATGTGATTTATAAATTCGAGATCGTCAATAAGAGTGAGAGAGTGTGTGCGACTGATTTAGCAAGTATAAAATTACCTACTAACTGAATTAACTTCTTCAAAATATATATTGCGCAATCTCCCAAGCTCATTTAAACTCTCTAAACATCATCCAAGGTTAACTCAAAGAACGTCAATTTATTCTGGCGTCATAAAATAACAACGAAAATAGAACAACTTTCAATAGATAAATCAGAACAATAGTGAGTCGTGCGCTGCATTTGCAAGTACACATCAACTCATTACAAATAAACAAAAACGTTAGAGACACAGAGTTGGTAATTATAGTGGAGAGAAAGAGAGAGAAAGAGAGAGGGAGAGAGAGAGAGAGAGAGAGAGAGAGAGAGAGAGAGAGAGAGAGAGNAGAGAGCGAGAGAGTGATATCGCTTTATTTACATAATCTCTGAAGATTTTTCTCGAGGACTACTCTTATATCTAAAGAGAAGTATAGATTTATTTTTACAATTGCTCTACTCAATAAACAAACAAAAACAAAAATATTCCTTGGTTTTACACTTTGACCAACTCATTGTATAATACAATATTACATAATCTGTTTACATATTAACAAGAAGGCGAAAGAAAAATAACAACAATAACTAAAAAAATTTAATTTTACTTTTCAAAATAAAACATAAAATTTCTTTAGGACAAAGTAAAATAAGTGAAATTTCTTTTACAGGGTATTTACAAGTACTTATTAACAGAGGGATATTAAAATGTCTGACAGTATTATGATTTAAATTAAACTTAAGATTTTTCCTTCTTGAAGGTGGGATAACAGGGATAACCTATTATCCCACCTTCTAGAAGGAAAAATCATAAGTTTAACTGTTGAGGTCGAAATATAAGATTTAAATTAAGCGTAGTTTTAAATTGAATTAACCTTACATCTTTTTTACATCTCTTATAACAGTAATTAAATATATATAAACTTAGTTATTAAATTAACAATAGTAATTAACATAATAAAAATAAAAGAACATTTTTTTCTTTAATTTTCTGACAAAATCTTACACATACTTTGAAGGTAGCAGAGTTTTTAATTTTAAAACTTTCTATTTTATTACAATTCTGCAGGCAGTTTGGGAGTTTAGAGAACGTTTTGGCACCTTTCACTATAAAAGAATTACTAAATGTTTTTGTTGTATGTTTTTGTACATATATATGCTTATCTTTATATCTTGTATTAATATTATGTATTTCAGAAGTGAATTTAATGTTCTCATATATATGCTGGGTTTTTTGTTTTTATTATCTTAAACATGTTACATAGAATTTTATAATCCAACATGTCTTTTATTTTTAAAATTTCTAGCTGCGCAAATTTGTCATGTATGCGATCATCATATTTTAAATTTAAAATATACCTCATGCACATATTTACTCCTATTTGTAATCTATAAATTTGCATGCAATTTAAGTCGCTCATGGCACCTAGTCCAGCTAGTAGAGAAAGAGAGAGAGAGAGAGAGAGAGAGAGAGAGAGTGAGAGAGTGAGAGAGAGAGAAAGAAAGAGGTAGAGGTAGCAGATAAATAGATAGATCTTCTTAAAAAATTAAACATTTAACCAATTTAACAATTAGAAATTTTATTAAATGAATATTATTTTACATTAATAGAAATGTAAAGTTAATATAACATTTTAAGGAAAATACCCCGTTTTAACACGCACTGTTTTCCTCAGTTTCATAGTTGTTTGTTAGGATTATTTCATAAGCTAACTTATGAATCTATTGCTTTGAGTACACTGGCTTTTACATAACTTCGTTTTATAGAGTTTATTAATCTTAGATTGCTAAATAGCTAAATAGAGACCGGGAAATTAAATTTAATACCATCTTGGTTTGCATGGTTTTCCCATGTTAACAATACATCGTATTGTTTTATTAGTGTGTGTGTGTGTGTGTGTGTGTGTGTGTGTGTGTGTGTGTGTGTGTGTGTGTGTGTGTGTGTGTGTGTGTGTGTGTGTGTGTGTGTGTGTGTGTGTGTGTGTGTGTGTGTGTGTGTGTGTGTGTGTGTGTGTGTGTGTGTGTGTGTGTGTGTGTGTGTGTGTGTGTGTGTGTGTGTGTGTGTGTGTGTGTGTGTGTGTGTGTGTGTGTGTGTGTGTGTGTGTGTGTGTGTGTGTGTGTGTGTGTGTGTGTGTGTGTGTGTGTGTGTGTGTGTGTGTGTGTGTGTGTGTGTGTGTGTGTGTGTGTGTGTGTGTGTGTGTGTGTGTGTGTGTGTGTGTGTGTGTGTGTGTGTGTGTGTGTGTGTGTGTGTGTGTGTGTGTGTGTGTGTGTGTGTGTGTGTGTGTGTGTGTGTGTGTGTGTGTGTGTGTGTGTGTGTGTGTGTGTGTGTGTGTGTGTGTGTGTGTGTGTGTGTGTGTGTGTGTGTGTGTGTGTGTGTGTGTGTGTGTGTGTGTGTGTGTGTGTGTGTGTGTGTGTGTGTGTGTGTGTGTGTGTGTGTGTGTGTGTGTGTGTGTGTGTGTGTGTGTGTGTGTGTGTGTGTGTGTGTGTGTGTGTGTGTGTGTGTGTGTGTGTGTGTGTGTGTGTGTGTGTGTGTGTGTGTGTGTGTGTGTGTGTGTGTGTGTGTGTGTGTGTGTGTGTGTGTGTGTGTGTGTGTGTGTGTGTGTGTGTGTGTGTGTGTGTGTGTGTGTGTGTGTGTGTGTGTGTGTGTGTGTGTGTGTGTGTGTGTGTGTGTGTGTGTGTGTGTGTGTGTGTGTGTGTGTGTGTGTGTGTGTGTGTGTGTGTGTGTGTGTGTGTGNAGATAGATAGATAGATAGATAGATAGATAGATAGATAGAGAGAGAGAGAGAGAGAGAGAGAGAGAGAGAGAGAGAGAGAGAGAGAGAGAGAGAGGTAAATAGATAGGTAGATGATAGCTAGAAAGATGGTAAGATAGATAGGTAAATAGAAGATAGGTAGATAGACATTTAGATAGACAGATATGCAGATAGATAGATAGATAGATAGATAGATAGATAGATAGATAGAGAGAGAGAGAGAGAGAGAGAGAGAGAGAGAGAGAGAGAGAGCGAGAGAGAGAGAGTGAGAAAGAGAGAGAGTGAGAAAGAGAAAGAGAGAGAGTGAGGGAGAGAGAGAGTGAGAGTGTGAGAGAGAGAAAGAGAGAGAGAGGAAGAGAGAAAAGGGAGTGTGGGAGTGTATGACAAAAAAATTGCATTCAAAATTGAAATTATTGTTTTGTTTTAATTTAAACAATTTTACATTGTATCGATACTTTCCTTTATATAATAAGAAAGCATTGTATTGACTTTGAACAATATGGTAGATAATGTCATGAAAAGCTTATCCAAACTATCGTATAATTTTGTTTTTGATCATTACTTAATAATTTTATTTCCAATAGGTTTCTCGAAAGGTTGACTTTCTTTTAAGCAGTCCCTATATTTTGTAAGTGTCGGATAGGTGAGCAGGGTAAACACTGCTAGACTCGTCTGGGTCGCCGAATACGGCATTTTCAGCTTACGAATACCGTGTCAAGGGCATTTACAAGGTACTTCTCGTTGATATATTCCCAACGGTAAAACGTGGAACAAGGGACGAGAGTCCTCATCTTTGTCAAGTGACTAAACTCGTATGAGTATTATGAGCGTATATCAGCGCCCTGTCATCTACCAACTGTAGCGCAATAACGAGGTCCACAATCAACTCCAAAGTTATACACTTATGTATTAAACATGACGATTTCGGTTTCAAATCACATATGCAACTTCTCAGCAATGATTTTATTTTTAAGTAAAACATATAACGCAAAGTAGTATGATAAAGTTAATACAAACAAACACATTATTTCACAAGTCTTTACGTATCATGGAAAATATCCTCGAAGGTTGTAATCATAGATAAAATTTTAGATTGGGTTATCTTTGATATATAATTAACACGGTTTTTAAGACCTGAATGTAAAGAAGTAATTACCTGGGGTGAAGTAAGTTTGAAGAACTGATTATCTATTTTTTTAAGTAGAAAGAATGTTGTAAGTGTTGGTACTCTGTTACAACGGCTTATTCGAGTTGTATAATTGCATCTTTCTCACTCTCTCTCACTCTCTCTCTCTCTCTCTCTCTCTCTCTATCCCTCTCTCTCTCTCTCTCTTTCTATCTTTTTTCTTTCCCTATTTCTATCTCTAACTATTTTTCTATCTATCTAACTACCAATCTATCTATATCTTTCCTCACCCTCAAGATATCTCTCTATCTCTTGTCTATCTGACTCTCTATCTATCTATTTATTGAAAAGATACTGTTTTATATTCAAGAGAACTCGTATTCATGTACATATGTGCTATTCAATAATGACTTTTAAACCTTACAGATAATTGTATTTCTGCGTTAATTATATTGGTCTAGTTTTTAAGATTTTTTTAATCACAGAAATAATGTTAAAAACCTACAGAAACGAAAAAATTGATATCTCATATTTACTGTATTTTTTAATAAAGGGAATTCTCGGAAAACAATTTTCATCCACAACTCGGATATCGACCATCGGTTAAAAAACATGGTTAATTTACCGCGAATCCCAAACCACCCGGGTCACTTGAAGAAGTTTTATCTGCAGAAGTTTCCTTAGGGCTGGCCCCCCGGGGGCGAGTTTCGGGTTCTTTCTCAGGCAAACGAGGGGGTTGTGCGTAGTCGGCGGAACGAAAATTAAAACTGGAAAAAGGAAAAAAAAGCTGAGAAATTCATGGAGTTGAAGGGAAAAAGCTCGGATAATTACGTGTTGGGAACATGTTAATTACTGGCTCCAAAATAAATTAGTTCCTGTGGTTAAATCTTAATAAAAAGTTGCGACTGAAGGGGAATGTCAGTGATTAGTTGAAACTCTCTGAAAGTTATTCTTTATCTTCTTGTTTTGTTTTCTGCTGTTATAAGCCTATAGAAAAAATCTTTAGTACATTAACTCAGTTACAGCGAACATTGAAAATACAACTTTCACTTTCTTCAAACAAACGGAAAATTCGTC